AAAAAATATCAGGGGAGCATGACAATTGAGAAGGTATTCACAAAAATTTAAAAATTCAAAATTATTGAAAAAGTATCAGGAGAGCATGACAATTGAGGAGGTATTCACTGAAATTTAAAAAATAAAAATTTTCAATTTCAGTGTATACCAATTTCGTAAAGCAGAAAATAACGTTCCCCCCCTCAAGTAGTCTCTCTGACAGCTGGACTACTACTGAGGCAGCACTGACTCCGCAGACCCCCCCTATGGCGGCTAGGCAGTCGGTAGTGCCCCCTCTCTCTTGGGGTGATGTATTAAAATACGGGTGGGGTGTTTCACACCCCCCACCACTGAGCCCCTATTCTAGTCAATCCTCTTTGCTACCCTCTCTCCAAGAGGCAATTTTCGCATTTCGATTGGCAGCGGGAGACAGTCGGAATCTGGCAACCTTGTATCAACGAATATCCTGTCTGACCACGTACTCAGGTTAATCGTGTATGATAGGAGATAGGGTGTGAGCCAGTGTTCCAACTTATTTATTCCAATTTTTTCCAATAATTTCGATTAAAAATGGCCCTAATGCCGCGGGAGTCTGGCAAATTGATAGCCAATCTCGCGAAAAATGTATTTATCGAAGAGGAAGGCATCAACAATCTTGCCCAAGAGGTAGGTATTTATCACTATAAAATTACCTGTTAATATTAAATTCATGAATAAATGATGTATGATTTAACAATTTATTAGGTTCTTGAGGGACTCAAAACCGGTGCAGTTTCAATCGAAAAGTTTTCGCAATGCGAAATGCACCCGAACTCTGGGCATCCCAAGGCCATCGACTGGATATTCGTATTGGATACACTGAATTTTTCATTTTGGAGCAGTAATCCCGATGATAAGTGGAAAGTCAATGGGCAGACTGGGTACTTTGCCCTCTGTGCAGCGATTAAACGTGCAATTGACGTAAGTCCATGCAAAATTCACTCCCTAAATGGCATCTGCATCTCTCTGTCATCTCGCACTGGTCCACCTCAGGCTCCTGATACCGCATCGATTCAGAGAAATGCATTATTTCATCAAGTTTCTTCGGTCTCGAGTCGATCTCACAACACGACACTTCAGGCCTTGTCCCGTGCCTCATTTTAAAACACCTCAGATATTTCGAATAATTTTCAATATTTCCTGAAAGAAATGTTCCCTGTCAGAGATTCTATCGATTTCTGTTATAACCATTATTACTTCGCATTCTCTCTCGCTGTCCCTCTACATTTTTCATATATTTTTTAATGTTCCTCTTAGCTTCGCCCTCCGCATATTCTAGGATGAATTTCTCAATTGTTAGCAGCCACTCTTGGTATATCTCACGTTCCATCCACCTATAAAGATTTTCGAGTTTTTAATATTCCGCAGTGTTTGATTTCGGCTTTGCTCGTCTACTTTTTTTCATTAGCTTCACGTCTGGCTTCTTCGGCTTCACGGAGGCATTTATTATGTGTTTTTTCTTTTTCACGGTTCTTTCTCTGGCAGTTCAGTAATAGTTTGACGATCCTCTGACGTTCCCTCTCTTTTACTAGTCTTCTCCGTCTTTTAGAATGTTCGGCACGTAGTTTTGCACGTTGGATTGTCCGTTTCTTTTGATCCCTCTTTTCCGATTCACGCATTTTGAGACGCTCCTCTATTTGTTTTTGTTTTTTCAGTTGTTGACGATGTTTTTCCGCCGCCTGCTCTCGTAGTTTGTTTTGCATCTTGAGATTCTTTTCATTACTCTTTAATCTGGGAATAGTTATTTTTTTTATTTATGATTAATATAAAATGGAATGAAAAATAAAAATTCATTCTATTGTAAGGTTTGTTACTTGGTTATTTTCATCTGAGCTTCAGCATTCGCAATTTTCAGATCCCTTCGTTCCATCCCCTCTTCTTCCCTCCTCCGCAATTCTTTTCTCACACCATCGCCATGTACTTTCCGCAAATACTTTCGATACATGTTATACTCCTTGACAGAACACTTGGCATCTAAATTATCCGTGATGAACCCCAACTCTTTCAGTCTCCACACATTCTTCTCATTGGAAAAATAACGAGCCAAGTGTCGATCGTGCAACGAATTATACGCGAATGCAATTTCATAATTATTTGGATCGGTTAAATCGAAGTCGACGTTT